TTCTGTATGTCCGCGCTTTTTTTTACGTTTTCCTTTAAAATATTTAAATAAACTGTTTTGTCCATAATGCCATCTATGAAGACCAGCTCACCGACCCCCGCAGACGACATGCAACCCCATACCATAACTCCTCCTCCACCGTGTTTGACAGTAGGTGCAAGATTTTTTTTTCATATGCCGTATTGGGCTTTCTCCATACAGTAGAGCGGCCATCAGAACGGAAAATGTTGTACTTACTCTCATCCGAGAATAGCACTTGGTCCCAGAAGCTGTTCGGTCGGCTCCCATATTCTCTTGCGTAGGCTAGGCGCTTCTTCTGGTTCTTTAAAGAAATAAGCGGCTTACGTCTAGCAACTCGGGCACTATAATCAGCCTCATGGAGCACTCTTCTGACCGTCATGGGATGAATTTTCTTTCCAGTCTCCTCTTGAACTTCAGCTGTTAATTGTGTTGATGTTTTTTTGGGGTCCTTTTTAATTTCTCGCACTATCTTTTGACGCTCCCGGTCACTTAAAACTCGTGGACGGCCAGGGCGTTTTGCGTTTTGTAAATTTGATTCGCCTTTAAACCTGTTGACGATACTTCGAATTGTGAAACGGCTTCTGTCCATCATTTGGCCGATCTCAGCAAACGATTTTCCTTGGCTGTGAAGGTGCATTATAATTTTTCGCTCAGATACACTCGTTTCTTTTTTCTTTGGGACCATTTTTTGTATTTTCTGCATTTAATTTTACTCTTTTAACAAAAAACTTTAAATAACGGTAAAATGACACGGTAGATAATTTCAGGAACAAATTGCTACGAACAAAGCAACAGGGTAGACAATTTTAGGAACCAATATTTTTGCAAAAAGAGTTGCCAACTGGCACAAATTAGGAAAAAATATAATAGATCATGTAAGTGTGCCAATACTTTTGTGCGATGAAATTGCTTTATTTTTTTATTAAACAAAATATAAAAAAGTTTTAAAAAATTTTTTTGAAATAAAAATTTCAGCATTAGTTAGTAACAACATGGGTTCTTTAGGAAAAATATTTTTTTTGTGTAGACTGGGAGACGGGGCTGAAAACAAGCGGTCAAGTTAGGAATTGATGGTTGTGCCAATACTTATGTGTGGCACTGTATATGAGTATTCATGGTATATAGCCCCCATATAACTGTACCCCTCGATATTCGGTATTTTAATGATTGTAGCCACATATTTCAATCGAATTGTCCCAAAATCCACGCAGGAGTCCCTTCAATTTATACGATTTTGGCGACATTTTTGACCGGAATTGTTTTAAATTTCGTATTTAAAGTTTGAAGCTCGTAATGAGTACTACAACCTATGCCAGAAAATTGTCTATGCAGGTCCTCGTCCTCTAATAGCCCATTTAAATCGGTACCTCCCTTTATCCGGTATTTTGATGATACTAGCAACATTATTTCCTAACATTTTGACGCCGAGCCGCCAAGGCATATGACCACTTATATATCTCCTACACCGTCCAAGCAACCAGAAAAACCACTGAGCGGAAGTAACGAGAAGGTACGCAAAATAGAATACTTTACTATTAATTTTCCCTTTGGCGGAAATAGTAGACAATGTTAAACATTGTCGTTTGAATAGAATGCATCGGAAACAGTAAGCAAACCCGTAAATTCGATAATCAAGGGTGCAGGAACTCCATGTCAAATCTAAAATATTTTGGTCCTGGAAAACATTATATAGGTTGGATAGCCAAGTCGACAAACTGAGAAGGAATTGCCTTATCAGATGGGGAACGTAGACGAAAATTAAACGTGGAACCGCAAAAGTACAACATGCTCACTATAAGGAAGCAAAAAAGGCTCTCCTATTTACGATTAAAGAAAGCTAAAGAAATAAATGGGAAGAACTAAGGAGGACCTTAATAGGGATCAGTTTGGACTGGAATATAAGCTAGTTATGAATAAAGTGGGAGTTCAAGCTCCAGAAAATGGGATTAATGATGAGCAAATGACAATATGTTCCCTACAAACCAAATAATAACAGAAAATCTTATATACTGTAAAAGATCTGTAGCTAGGAAATTGCAAATAACAAAGGAATCTTCCCCTTGCCATGGAAAGAACACCAATTTGTGCTGTAAGTAACGGAAAGGGAGATCCAACAGTCCCCTCTTCCCCACGAAATTCTTTAAAATTTGATTTCGTAGTTGAAGTTCGGATTCAACCCTACAGTCTATGACAAAAAATTACTCATGCATTTTCGACGGAATTTTTTGAATTTTCTGAAGATCCTTCCAAATGGTGGAGGGTATTTAAAATTCGGCCCGATCGAATTTAGCTGCTTTTTTACTTGTCTATACTTACAAATTATTTGAGTATTATCTCAATCTACTTCGTCAAATTATCGAAAGCTTGCAAATCCTTTATCTTATTTAACGGATATTTTTGGATGTCATTGAGTTTATTTACTATTTTGTCTAATCCATGTGATTGTTTAATAAATTATCGGGTTTTGAAATAAATTCTTTTTTGGAAATAGGTTATCAAAAATTTATATGAGTATTTATAGCTAATTTGTTAACTAGATAATTTGTCCGTCAGTTAATAACTGTCCAAATTTTCTATACTTACAAATTATTTGAGTATTGTCTGATTCTACTTTGCCAAATTATCGAAAGCTTGCAAATCCTTTATTTCATTGAGCGGATATTTTTGGATGTCATTGGGTTTGTCTACTATTTTGTATAAACCATGTTATCCTTTAAGAAATTACTGGTTTATTGCAATATATTCTTTTTGGAAATAGGTTATCAGATATTTACATGAGTATTTATAGCAATAAATGTCCCAATTTTCTATACTTACGCTGCCTTTACACGGTGCAATTTTTAGCTGGCATTTTTATCAATTCTCTTTTAAAATTTCTGCTTAAATCTTCGCGCCTTTACACGGTGGCATTTTACGATAATAGTGCTTGGCATTTTTTCTGACATTTTATTTTATTCAGTATTTCGTATAGAGCTAATTGTTTGTAACAGATATTTATAAAGAAGTGATTTAAAACTAAATGTGTGAATCTAAAGAAGAAATGATGGAAAAAGTTATTGAGGTGTTAAATATTGTATTATTAACTTTTATTTTAATTTCCTTTTTTTACTTTTTAATACTTCCAATTAATTTTCATATTATTCACTATACAATTCAATCACTAAAAACATCACATCACAATAAAAGAAACGCATCAAAAATTACAATAAAGAAACGATATGAAATGTCAAAATCATAAAAAATTCGGAAGAAGCATAAAGAGAAATACAAAGAAAATGGCATGTAACCCTGTGCGGTGGCTTGTCGTGCCATTTTTTCTTCTATCCTTGTCTCTCTACACCTTTTACCAACAAAACAAAATGGCATGGTTAAAAAATTTCACCGTGTAAAGGCAGTGTTACAAATTATTTGAGTATTGCCTCATTCTTCTGCATTAAATCACCGAAAGCATGAAATACTTTATTTCGTTGAACGAAATTTTTCTTGGATGTCATTGAGATTGTCTATAATTTTTTCGTATCCATGTTGCTTCCGAGGTTCTTTTCAGTTTTTATTTATTTTCATTATTATTTAGAATTAATTTTTATTACCAAAATAACTCGAAAAAGTCTCAGCAAAGTAATTTTTTCAAAAAATTATGTTCTTAATGCTAGCTGGGTATGTAGTCATATTGACAATATAACTCCGTTCGTGCAATGTAAACGTGCTATTAATTCCATTTTTGTGGAGTCCAATATGCGAAGGTTTATAAAGAAGGAAATAGAATTGAATGGTAGGTTAAAAATCCTTCAGTGATGCTCAACCCACTATATGAAATACAATACTTTACAATAATAATAATTGGCATCACAAAATTGGTCATCATGTCGCGATAACGCTTCTGATTGATGGTAACAGCATGGCCATTTTCATTTTGGAAGAAAGACGGCCCAATGACCGTTTTCGCACTAACGCAGCACCAAACTGTGACTTTTTCGTCATGAAGAGGCACTTCTTCAATCTCCTGAGGATTTTCAGTGGCGTAAAAACGGCAATTTTGCTTATTTACGGTCCCATTCAATGTGAAATGGGCTTCATCGGACATGATAATTTTGTTCCAAAATTGCTCGTCATCTTCGGCCATTTCGATGACTCTTTGGGCCCATTCCAATCGACGAGGCTTGTCCGCAGGCAACATTCTTTGCGTCAGTTGAATTTTGCACGGGAACAAATGCAAATCAATGCGAACAATCCGTTGTAAAGTGGACCGAGTCATGCCCAACTGCAGAGAACGGCGTTTTTGGGATGTTCTTGGGGACCTCTCAACACTGGCTGGTACGGCAGCGATATTTTCGGCCGATCGCCTTGGTCGACTTTTATATGGCCTCTTCGGATTAGAAAGAGCCTTACCAGTCGAAAATTTTTCGTATAAACGCTTAATGGTGTTCTTAGAAGGCGCACTTCTCACATTTTAAAAGCACCTTGAGTTTTCACAATTGACTTCTTCTGCTGAATGTAAATTTCAACTATTTCAGAGCGCTCGCGTGGCGTGTATTGGTTCATGGTAAAAATCTGCTTGGACTGACGCTTCAAACGCGGTATGTCATTAAGCGATGTGACATCTCTGTCAAAAGTTATGGCGTTGCCAGATGGATCCGTCGAAAATGGGCAACCCTGTACTTATACTATGATAATTTTTATATTGATTCTTCTGAGTTTAGCAATTGTGATGAGAGCTTAAAACTATTCTATCAAAATGCTAAAGTTGAATCCGTCGCAGACTTTTATTTTTAAATTTCTAAAAAATATGTTATCTAGGAAGTCTTTGGCATACAGACAAAATGACTTCTCTTCAAACATATTCTCGTTTTTTTTTTCTTACATGAACTAAAACTTAATCGAAAAACTTTTTGTAGTAAACCACACACTCTTAATTCTCCCTATTCATCCTTCTCATTTTTTTTACTCTCCTCTTCATTTCACATCTCTCACATCAACAGGTGTCGGCTATGCAATCTGTCTAATTGACATCTATATGGGGATGTACTATAACACAATTATTGGATGGGCTGTTTACTATCTCTTTGCCTCGTTTACATCGAAATTGCCTTGGACGTCGTGTGATAATCCATGGAATACGGCAGCCTGTATGCCCGTTACGAATGCCAATTTTAATGCCAATCAAACGACACCGGCCAAAGAGTTTTTTGAGTGAGTATAAGGCGAATTCCTACTCCCCTCCCCCCCACCATCAGCCATGTGAACCATACAATGTAAACATTCTGCACTCTCTCTCTCTGTCGAAATGATAGACAGTGTGTGTGTGGGGGTGGGGTGGGGAGATGTTTAACCACTCAAATAAATGTATTTATCTAAATGGTTAGCCAGTCAGCCATTCAGTTTGTCCATTGTGTGATGGCTACTTTATATCCTTTCTTGCCGTTGATGATGTTTTTGTTGCTAATAAAATGTTTATTTTTTTTTTTGATTTATTTGTGCGCTTCTTCAATGCAGACGCAAAGTATTGGAACAGTACAAATCGGATGGCTTGGATTTAATGGGTCCCGTTAAGCCAACGTTGGCTTTATGCGTTTTTGGTGTATTTGTTTTGGTCTATTTCTCCCTGTGGAAGGGGGTACGCTCCGCCGGCAAAGTGGTATGGGTCACTGCCTTGGCCCCATATGTGGTACTCATCATTCTGCTGATACGTGGCGTGTCGCTGCCTGGCGCCGATGAGGGTATCAAATATTATTTAACACCGGAATGGCATAAATTGAAAAATTCCAGGGTAAGTGAAAAAGGGGATATTTGAAAAATGTGCATTGATTTTTTTTGGATAAAGGGGTTATTAGGTAAAGTAGAATGGATAAGATTTAAAGTTTTTAGAAGAAACTTGGGTGATGGATTCCGTTTATTTAAGCCCTTGAAATATGGATAATTCTATATTTTATGAATAGCAGAGGGTCTGGAAAGTTCTACAGCATAGGTAAAGTACAGAGACGAAACTATAGACACGAGCAATATGAATGTAAAGGATCTGAACATGTGGATCTGTAGTGGAAAAAAGAAAAATATCACGGATCTGTGGATCCGTTGCGGAGAAAAGGAAAACAATCTTAAAGAGTGTAAAAACAAACCGTAATTAGTATATGTGTGGAAGAAGCAAAAATAAGGTAGATTATTTACCAGGACCAAGATGTAGTACCTCAAGGAAACAACAGTCGTTATGAATATTCCCCAGCTTAATATACAACGAGAAAAAGTTGCTGACGCTATCCTTCCGCGGATAGTTAGGAAGCAGTCGGCCGAAATTATGAGTGTAAGTGAACAATACTCTTCAAAAAATTATTGGACTGTGGATGAATCAAAAATAGCTGCCACATGGATTACAGACAGATAAATTATAAGTTCACAAAAACATCGGTATAGAAAAGGGTTCCGTTTGAACGTGGTTCTTTCATGAAGCAGTCATGAGCTGCTACCCTTCGCCCAGAGAAATTCCAGTCAAAAAAAGGAAAACTCAAGCCAATAGAAGATGCTGCCAGGAGCTTCAACGGCGTGCAGTGGAGTATATCCTAACATTTTGACGGCTGAGCCGCAATGGCATATGACCACTAATATATCTCCTACACCGTCCAAGCAATCAAAAAAACCACTGAGCGGAAGTAAAGACATGGTACGCAAAATTGAATGCTAAATATTTAGATCGATTTTCCTAACATTTTGACGGCTGAGCCGCAATGGCATATGACCACTAATATATCTCCTACACCGTCCAAGCAATCAAAAAAACCACTGAGCGGAAGTAAAGACATGGTACGCAAAATTGAATGCTAAATATTTAGATCGATTTTCCATATAGCGGAAATAGCAGACAAAGTTAAATAGGACAATACAACTGAACCACTAAGCAAAATTACGCATATGATAATCAAGGAAGCAGGACATTATGGGGATCCGTTTGGACTGGGATATTAGCTAGTTATAAAGAAACTAGGAGCTCAAGCTCCAGTAAATGGGATTTATTTGAGATAATGATAAATATCGTAAACAATCTGTTACCTACAAACAATCTGCTTCATACAACTGTCAATAGTTGCAAGAACTCGGGTGCAAGAGCTCCATGTTAAATATAAAATATCTGGAAAATATCCCTGGAAAACATTATATTGGTGGAATGGCCAAGACGATGAACTGGAAAGAAACTGTCTTATCCGATGGAGAACGTTGAAGAAAATTTAACGTAAAATCGCAAATATAGAACATGCTCCGTATAAGGCTCCGTAAAAGGCTCTACAAAAACACAAGAAATAAATGAGAAATTTACGAAAACTAGATCAGTATAAGAAAAAACAAGGAACTCCAAATTGCGATTAAAGAAAGCAAAAGAACTAAGGAGGACCTTAACAGGAATCAGTTTGGACTGAAATATAAGCAAGTTATGAATAAACTGGGAGCTCAAGCTCCAGAAAATGGCAAAGGAAATCCAACAGCCCTCTCTTCGTACAGGTCATTGTATGTATCCTAAACATGGCTGCAACTTAAAGAGAACAATATAAGATACCATAAACTAATGGTACATAAACTGCAGATTCAACTCGCTATGGAAAAAATACCAATTTGTGGTGATAAGTAACGGCGAAGGAGATCCAACAGTCCCTTCTTCGTACAGGCTATTGTATATATGCTTAATATAGCTGCAACTTAAAGAGAAAGTACTGAAAGTACAGAGAACGACTGCATTAGGCGACTGCCACCTGCAAACTATGCACAGTCTCAGAACCAGCAGTACAAATTAAAAAGGGGCTTGGGACCTATCGATTTGGTCACAGAAGAGCGGTGGAAAATATTCCAAATGAAACGTTTACAAGTCTGAAGTCTCAGAACTTGTCCCCGTCTCTGGGACATGGTTTATATCATGGTACAATAAGGAGGTAGAACAACTTCGTAAAACTGGAGAAATACAGCCCTGAGGCTATGCCCGCTTCCTGTCAGTCTCATTCAAAATTATATAAACAAGTTGTTTTCATTTTTTCATATTTTTCCTCATTTTTGAAATGAGTTAAAAAGCGCGAGAAATAAATGAAATGCATGGATTTTCTTCCAAAATTATGACCTAAACTGTTCAATCTTTCAATTTCATGGCTAAACTGGTTAAAGCTTTAATGCGCGAGCCGCAATGTACGTATCCAATCATTGGGTTTGAAAATATTTTTTTTTTCATTTTTCAAAACAATAAATACATACACAAAATTGGCAGAAGTCGGGCACAGTCAGAAAAAAATTGTAATCAGATGGTAGCTCTACCCATGGTATAATGATATCAAGGTAGGGCTATGATACCATATGATTTCAATTTTTATACCCTCCACTTTGGAAAGGAGGGTATATTAACTTTGTCATTCCGTTTGTAACATCCTTAAATATTCGTCTTAGACCCCATAAAGTATATATATTCATAATCAGCATAAAATTCTAAGTCGATTTAACGATGTCCGTCTGTCTGTGTCTGTCTGTCTGTCCGTCTGTCTGTCTGTCTGTTGAAATCATGATACAGCCCACATTATTTGACGTAGAGCGTAGAGCAAAATTTAGCAGAGCTATTTGCATTGTGTCTAGAATGGTTGGTATTGAAAATGAGATATATAGGTCCACGTTCTGGTGTAGTCCCCATATAACGGTACCTCCCGATATTCGGTATTTTGATGATTTATGCCACATTTTTTCACGGATTTGTCTAAAAATTGGTATTTGTTGGTCATAATGGGTTCCAGCTCCGGTGGCGAAACATTGCATGTAAGGGTCCATGATTTGGTATAGCCCCCATATAACGGTAGCTCCCGATATTCGGTATTTTGATGGTTTTTGACACATTTTTCCACGGATTTGTCTGAAAATTGGTATTTGTTGGTCATAATGGGTTCCAGCTTCGGTGGCGAAACATTGCATGCATGGGTCCATGATTTGGTATAGCCCTCATATAACGGTACCTCCCGATTTTCGGTATTTTAATGGTTTTTGCCACATTTCTTCTATTGTTTCTTTTACCCTAAGGTGGAGGGTATTAAAAGTTTGGCCCGGCCGAACTTAATGTTTTTTACTTGTTTTATTTTCTTGGCCTAATATGTCATCTTTATTTGTTTATGTATGTGTTTTCTTTTCAATAACAAGAAAATATTGTTCAGAAAACATTCAAATTCGGATGTTTTCAAAATGTTTATTTCATCGTATGCATCGACAAAATCTAGAGTTTTTGTAGTGAAATAATTCTTAAGAGATATATAGAACCTGGTTTTGAAAAGTAGTGTTGACCTTTCATTCAGTTTTCGCGGTTTTCAATTATTTATTCAAAATAAATGCAACAAGTTGTTTTATTTTTTTATTGTTTTGATACTAATTCTGACACTACAAGCCAAATAGGTAGACCTCTATACCTTCAATTTTTTCAAAGTTGACCTACCTTCTCTTCATTGTACCATGGCTCTACCTTACCTTTTTATTGTACCATGGTTTATATCTTATTTACACAACATATCCTACTTTATTTACACAACTTGGATACATTTTATCCACATCCTGATTATAGTGCATATCTTATCCATTTAATATATTCTAATTAAAATTTTTTCATTTATAACTTTTTCTTCTTCTCCTTCCTCTAGGTTTGGATCGATGCTGCCTCACAAATTTTCTTTTCCCTGGGACCTGGATTTGGCACCCTCTTGGCCCTGTCCAGTTACAACAAATTTCGCAATAATTGCTATCGCGATGCATTAATTACGAGTAGTATTAATTGTTTGACCAGCTTTTTGGCGGGTTTTGTAATATTTTCGGTGCTTGGGTAAGTGAAATTTCCCAATGGCATTTATTTGAGTAAATATTTTCAAAATTTCTTTTCATTTTTTTTCCAATTTACAGTTACATGGCCCATGTCCAAAAGACCACCATTGATCGTGTTGGCCTTGAGGGTCCCGGCTTGGTGTTCATTGTCTATCCCGAGGCCATAGCCACAATGAGTGGTTCTGTGTTCTGGTCCATAATCTTTTTTTTGATGTTAATAACCCTGGGTTTGGATTCGACGTTTGGTGGCCTAGAGGCCATGATTACAGCTCTGTGTGATGAATATCCCCGCTCCATAGGCAGAAGAAGAGAGCTATTTGTTTTACTGCTGCTGGCAGGCATATTTTTGTGTGCCCTACCCACCATGACATATGTAAGTGGCATTTATCAAGAAATTCCGAATAATAAATATGCATTTACTTATAAGATACAAATCAGGATAGGGGGGGAAGTTTTTATCTAGCCATTTAACTTAATTATGCCAATGTCAATTCATTAGAAATACCTCCCAACCACATTCGTTAAACAAGAGCTAATGAAAGGAATAGCGCCTTCTTACATAATACACATATAGCGTGTGTTTACTTAGGTAATATTCTCCATCACCCCCTTCCACTACTTCTCACCTGTCCAAATGATTTACACAATCGGCCACTTAACTTTTCTACACATTTTTTCACCTCATTCAAAAAAAAAACTCCATTTGCTGGCCGCTTGGGCTTCCTTCTTAGTTGGCCAGGCATCACTTAGAGGGTGGACACCTCTCTTCCTCACTAGATGTCCATTTCCACTTGTTGATAACTAATGTTTGTTATCACTTGACTTGATTACATTTGAAATTATAATTTGGTGTTTACCAATACCACACTCGAGGTTGGGGGAGGAAAGAGTGTTGGTAGGAGAAGGGGATTTTTTTTTTCAAGGATGTTTGTGCGTAAGAGTTATTTATGGGGATGTAGAGTATAAAAGAATAACAAGGAAGTGGAATGCTAGGTTAATGTGTCAGGTAACCATCATTGGAAAAAGCTTTACAAATATCCAATAGATTTTTAAATGGCTTAAAACACGTGAAAAGTTTACGGATACAGTGGATAATGTTGTAAGGTAATTTAGATAAAGTTGATAATAATTTGGATACATTTTTTTTGGATAACGTGGATAATCTTTTTAAATAGTTTAGCCAATAACGTGGATAAACTTTTCAGACAGTTTGGATAAGTTCGACAATCATGTTAGACAGTTTGGAAAACTTGGATAATTATTTTAGACAATTTGAACTACATGGATAATTTTTTTAAACAGTTTAATTTAAATGGATAAACTTTTAAGACAGTTTGGATAACGTGGATAATATTTTTATATAGTTTGGATAACGTGGATAAGCCTTTTAGACATGTTGGATAATGGGGATAATATTTTTTAGACAGTTTGGATATCGAGGATACACTTTTTAGACAGTTTGGATAATGTGGATAATATTTTTAGGCATTTTGGATAACGTGGATAATAGTTTTAAATAGTTTGTTTATCGTGGATAAGGTTTTATACAATTTGGATAATGTGGATAATCTTTTTAGACATTTTAGATAACGTGGATAATCCTGTTAGATAGTTTGGAAAACGTGGATAATGTTTTAAGACCGTTTGGATAACGTGGATAAACTTTTTAAACAGCTTGGATAAAGGGGATAATCTTTTTAGACAGTTGGGATAATGTGGATAATGTTTAAAGACAGTTTTGATAACGTGGATAATGTTTTAAGACAATTTGGATAACGTGGATAAACTTTTTAGACAGTTTGGATAATGTCGATAATTCTTTTACATAGTTCGGAAAACGTGGATACATTTTTTTAGAGAGTTGAATAACGAGGACACCATTTTTAGATGGTTTGGATAACGTTGATAATCTTTTTAGACCGTTTGGATAACGTGGATTATCTTTGAAGACAGTTTGGATAACGTGGATAAACTTTTTAGACAGAATGGATAATGTGGATAATCTTTTTAGACAGTTTGGATGACGTGGATAATGTTTTTATATAGTTTGGATAATGTGGATAATCTTTTTAGACAGTTTAGATAACGTGGACAGTTTGGGTAACGTGGATAATCTTTTTAGACAGTTTAGATGACGTGGATAATCTTTTTAGACAGCTTGGATAATGTGGACTATCTTTTAAGACAGTTTGGATAATGTGGATAATCTTTTAGGACAGTTTGGATGACGTGGATAAACTTTTTAGACAGCTTGGATAATGTGGATAATCTTTTTAGACAATACGGATGTTTCAAGACACCTTGGATAACGTAGATATTTTTTTTACAGTTCGGAAAACGTAAATAAAGTTTTTAGACAATTTGGATAACGTGAATAATCTTTTAAGGCGGCTTGTATAACGTGGACTACCTTTTTAGACAGTTTATATAACTTGGATAATCTTTTAAGACAGTTTGGATGACGTGGATAAACTTTTTAGACAGCTTGGATAATCTTTTTAGACAGTATGGATAACGTGGATAATCTTTTAAGACAGTTTGGATGACGTGGATAATGTTTTTAGACAGTTTGGATAATGTGGATAATCTTTTTAGACAGTTTAGATAACGTGGATAATGTTTTTAGACAGTTTGGATAATGTGGATAATCTTTTTAGACAGTTTGGATAACGTGGATAATCTTTTAAGACAGTTTGGATGACGTAGATAAACTTTTTAGACAGTTTGGATAATGTGGATAAACTTTTAAGACAGCTTGGATAATGTGGATAATTTTTTAGACAGTATGGATAACGCGGATAATATCTTTAGACAGTTTAGATAACGGGGATAATCTTTTAAGACAGTTTGGATAACGTGGATAATATCTTTAGACAGCTTGGATGACGTGGATAATGTTCTTAGATAGTTTGGATAATGTGGATAATATTTTTAGACAGTTTAGATAACGTGCACTATCTTTTAAGACAGTTTGGATAACGTGGATAATCTTTTTAGACAGTATGGATAACGAGGATAATCGTTTAAGACAGTTTGGATGACGTGGATAATGTTTTTAGACAGTTTGGATAATGTGGATAATCTTTTTAGCAGTTTGGATAACGTGGATAATGTTTTCAGACAGTTTGGATATTGTGGATAATCTTTTTAGACAGTTTAGATAACGTGGACTATCTTTTAAGACAGTTTGGATAACGTGGATAAACTTTTAAGACAGTTTGGATAATGAGGATAATCTTTTTAGACAGTTTGGATGACGTGGATAAACTTTTAAGACAGCTTGGATAATGTGGATAATTTTTTAGACAGTATGGATAACGTGGACAATATCTTTAGACAGTTTGGATGACGAGGACAACCTTTCTAGACAGTTTGGCTAACGTGGATAATATTTTTAGAAAGTTTGGATAACGTGGATAATATTTTAAGACAGTTTGGATAACGAGGATAATCTTTTTAGGCAGTTTGGATGGCGTGGATAATCTTTTTAGACAGTTTAGATAACGTGGATAATGTTTTAAGACAATTTGGATAACGTGGATAACCTTTTTAGACAGTTTGGATAATGTGGATAATATCTTTAGACAGTTTAGATAACGTGGACTATCTATTGAGACAGTTTGGATAACGTGGATAATATCTTTAGACAGTTTGGATCACGTAGATAATATCTTTAGACAGTTTAGATGACGTGGATAATGTTTTCAGACAGTTTGGATAACGTGGATAATTTTTTTAGATAGTTCAGATAACGTGGACTATCTATTGAGACAGTTTGGATAACGTGGATAATATCTTTAGACAGTTCGGATAACGTGAATAAAGTTTTTAGAAAGTTTAGATAACGTGGATAATATCTTTAGACAGTTTGGATAACGTGGATAATATTTTAGGGCCAGCCAAACAAATTGGATAAGGTTTTTAGGCAATTTGAATAAATACTTAATTTTGGATAACGCAGATGGTATTTTAGGCAAGCATCTCTGAATAAAGCGGATATAACATTTGAATTGTTCATATAGTTTTAGAATTTAAAGCCTATGTGGTCCCTATGGATAATTTTTATAAATTTCTAACTTTGTTTTCAGGGTGGCGTTTTCCTGGTGAATTTCCTCAATGTCTATGGCCCCGGTCTGGCTATTCTCTTTGTGGTGTTTGTTGAGGCGGCTGGCGTTTTTTGGTTCTATGGCGTGGATCGCTTTTCCAGTGATGTGGAAATGATGTTGGGCAAAAGACCTGGATTATTTTGGCGTATTTGTTGGACGTATATCAGTCCTGTGTTCCTATTGGTAATCGATAACCATTTAACTTTGTTTACACCAACCGATTTTAATGGCAATTTTTTCGCGCTCTCTCTCTCTCTCTCTCTTTTAGGCCATTTTTATTTTCTCATTTTTGGGCTATGAAGAAATGCTCGGCACCGAATACAAATATCCGCAATGGAGCATCAAAGTCGGCTGGGCGGTTACATGTTCCTCGGTCATGTGTATACCCATGTATATGATCTATAAATTCTTCTTTGCCTCGAAGGGTAATTGCCGAGAGCGTTACGATGCCTCATTTAAGCCGAATACAAATCCGGGCACAGCCATACCCGGACAACAGGGCACCAATGTGTGACATGGAGGAGAGGTCGCAGATGTTGGCAATTGGTCAAGCAAGGAGTGTGAGCTCAAAAATCATCATCACCAACAACAACAAACAACACAGCAATATTCACCAACAACAATAACAAACAAAGTAAATGGACATTTTTGTAGTAAATTAAGTGAAAATGAAAATCTCAATACTTCGTATTATGACTCGTATTATCCTGAATGTAATAAGCAACACCTGGAACCCGAACCAGGCTATGATATTAGCTTTAAAAGCGTCAAGAGTTCCACGGAGGGGTCATCATCGTACACCCACTGCAATTGTGATGGTCAGAATAATAGACCCTCCTCCTGGTGCGAAGAACTTGACAACAATATTAATAGTTATAGGAATTTAGTTAATGGTAGTCGTCCTCATCACGATCATCACAATCCTCCTCCTCATTATTCGCATCATCATCATCATCGCCGTTTCGTAAGTAGAAATTTTTGTAAATTACAAACGCCCCATTTGTACGATAATAATATTGCATGTGCGTCCGGAACCGTGTCAAGCGCTGCCGCCGCGATCGCCGCTGCTGCTGCTGTTGCCAATAACGCTGAGGACAATAACAAATACACGATTATACTCAGCAAAAGTTGTAAACCACTTAAGTTTTCATTTGCCAGTGAATGGTTAGTTTAGAATAGAAATTAAAAAGGAAACGTTATAGAGAGAGAAAGAGAGCAAACGACAGGGAGAGAGAGAGTGTGAGAAAGATTTACGGAAAGAAAAGGGGAAGAGAAAAACGTCCTATACATGGCAAAATAAAATAGGTGTTAGGTACATGGCATATGGTAGAATAATACAGGTAGATGCATTAACACTTGGAAAAATAAAATATTTAAAATGTTTTTTTTTTTTTTTTTTCAAAAATAATAGATTTTTATATATTTTCTTATACGACGCCAATTGGAGGTCGTTATGATATGCATTTTCTTTAAATTTTTTACAAATTACAATAATTTGTAATTCAAAATTTCTAATTTAAAATTGGGTTGACAATTCACTGTCCCAGCACCTATTTTCTTTTACCATGTCATGGCCTAATTATAAGGGGGAGTTCGAGCTTCGAAGCCAGCTACCAAATTCAAAGTCAAACTGCGTTATTGTGATTGAAGCCACCGAACAAAACATAAACAAATAGCCAACAAGAAAATTTCACATTAAATCTGATTTTTAAAATTTCAGAAACATCTTGTTATTGCACCATAGTACTGTTGTCAAAACACTTATTGTGAATGAAATAACAGTACAAAAGATAAACAAATAGTAAGCAAAACATAAACAGATTTTGACATTTAATGAAAGTGGTATAAGAAATCATTATTCTGCCATGGTCCGGTTCGGTTTTACACATGGCACAATCAATAAATATTGGAATTTCCGCAGCTGATCAGCGCTTATTGTGATTGGAATCCTAGATCGAAAGATAAACAAACAGTAAAGGCATTTTGACGTTTCGTTGCGGATCATCATTTATTTCACGTGACATTTTGTATGTCAATTCCCATAACAACAATATTAATAGTCACCAGATTTTGAAAAAATGTCAAATTTCTAAATTTGTTTGCTTTTTTTTAAGTATTTGTCTGTGTTTTATCAATCGCAACATTTTTTTCAAAAGTTAATCGAATGATCAACTGTGAGAGATGGAACGCTTTTTGTTTTTGTTACACTTACAAACCCTTATTTACACCGACCAATTTTTTGTTTTTCTAAAACGCTTTATTTATATTGTCAATTCCTTTAATAATATGTCAAATACGAATGACGAATCTTTTATGCTTCAGAGAGCGTAAAATATGACCCAACTTCACTGCATTATTCGCAATTAAAATTTATGGAAGAATTTGAAATTTTCTGATAAAAGATTCAATTTATGGTGTGTCCGAGCACACCATAATTTCATATTTCAGTTTAGCAAAAGTCGTTAGGTGTAAACGATGACCACAATTCATATAAATTTTTCAGAAATTTCTCGGTAATTTTGAACATTTTTTCTAGTAATTATCAGCCAAAATTAGTTAGAAAAAATCTCCGAAATTGAATGGAAATTCAGTAAATTTCTATAAATTGTAATCATGTTTTAAACTTGCAATTTTTCTAGAAGCTTTGACAATTCAGATTATACTATACAAAAAAAGAATTATAGACCCAACAAGACCACGATATTTTAAATATGATAAAAGGCTTAAATGTAAATGTGCTTTAAAATTGAAAATAAGATCCCATGTTAACCAAACATAACGACATATTAATAGTTTTACACCAACTGTTTAAAATCAGACTTAGGGTGGAAGTACATAAAGAGATTTTATGATTGGTTTAAGTCATCGGCTGGCTTCTCCGTGGAGGACATGGTAGAAGAATATAGGTAGATGCATCAACGCTTGTGAACATTGATATGTCAAAAAGTTTTAAATATTTTATCAAAACTAAGTAGATTTTTAAATGTTTTTTTTTTATACGACGCCAATCGGATATTTTTAAGATATTCATTTTTCAACAATTTTTACAAATTTAAATAATTTTTCACTTAACATTTGCAATTCCAAAATTAGTTTGACAGTTCATTGTCCCAGCATCTGTGTCAATGTGTCTACCTGTATTCTTCTACCATGGTAGAGAACCAAAGAGTTTTAGGTTGATTTAGTTCGATTTTAGCCCAGGCTCCTTTTTTATTTTCCAAAGAAGCCAGCCGATGATTTAAGCCGGTCAGAAAATCGTTTTATGTATTTCACCTTTACATCTACATTTTATTTACTCTTGATGTATATTTCATCATCTTATTTCAATCACAATAATGTATTTTGACAGCTAATCTTGTGATCAGCTGTTACTTATATGAAGTACCTATTTATTGCGTCATATTAGTAATAGTGTGTTCCAACAGCTGTTAAATATCAGATGAAATGTCCATTACATTTTTTTCACAATTTTTCTCAAAATATTTCACATTTACCAGCCATAATTGTGACATATTGGGAGAAGTTGTCATTATAGTAAGGCTTCGTTTACATGACAGGCAGGGTCTTTAGAAAAAACTGTTTTCATTTTTAACTAAAATTTTTTAAAAAATAATACCAATGAAATGTTTGGAGGGTGTTTCGCAGGTTTTCTTTGGTGATATAATTGTATGCGCCCATGGTAGAAGAATACATGTAGTCGCATCAGCACAGCTGTTGGGACAATGAACTGTCAAACCAATATTTATATTGAAAATTTGGAATAAAAAATTATTCAAATTTGTATTTTTTTTAAAAAAATGCATATTTTATCAACCTCTTATAGACGTCATATAAGAAAACTTATAAAAATCTACTTATTTTTAAAAAATAATTTAAAAACCTTTGACATATCAATGTTCCCAAGCGTTGATGCATTTACCTGTATTCTTCTACCATGTATGCGCCTTTACGCTACCATGCTAAGTTATCTTTATAACTGTTTATATTTTAATGTTGACAAATTGCTATCTACACTTTTATTATGATAAGTTTTCAAAAAAAAAAATTTCCCCAATGATTTTCAATAATTAACAGCCATGATTATTGAAAAATATTTGCGGTATTTTAATCTTTCAATGTGCCAGATGTTGTATCACGATTCAGTGCCGTTTATTCGCAATGACGTGAATTGTGGTCCGTGACTCGACATTATTTTATCCGCATATTTGGGCAAGTAACTTTAGATATTGTCGTCATGCGATAAACTATCCACTAATTTTCCCAATTTTGTAGGCTAACGCCCTTTTATCTTCTATGACGAATATGATATTCCAAATGGAACATTTTTGTTATTATTTTTATTTTTTGGTTCCAAGCACATTTTGTTTTGGAAGATATTTGGAAAAATAAACAAAACCGAATTAAAAAAATAAATAAATATGACTGTTGCCAATAATAGTTTGATGTGTGGCCAGGACACTTAATGAGAATGTTCATTGTGTGGCCAGGCCGCATAATGAGTGAGCAAATTATGCCAGACCGGACTCTAATCCTGCCGTCGCTTTTCCTTACAATTTGAGATTAATATGCCAAGCCATGATACCAAGCTGCTTATATGAACAAACCATGGTAGAAGAATAAAGGTAGATACATCAACGCTTGAAAACATTGATATGTCAAAATTTTTTTAATGTATTTTCAAAGATTAATTGATTTTTATATGTTTTCTTATACGACACCAATCGGATATGCATTTTTTTCTGACAATTTTCCAAATTTGAATAATTTTTCATTTAAAAATTTCAATTCCGAAATTGCTGTGACATTTCACTGTCCCATCAGCTGTGCCGATGCTACTACCCGTTTTCTACTACCACACCCAAACCTTAAATTATTTCAACGCTTCTTAAAATCAGAATAAATGTCGACATTTGTTTATAATTAACAATTAATCGTTTGTACTGAAATTTCAATCACAATAATATACTTTGACGTTTTATTCGATTAAGAGCTGACACATGTTTATATTTTTCATAAGTATGCCAATTATAAGTGAATCGTGTAATAGTTAGGGCACTATAGTTGAATTAAATGACCAACCAAATGAAGATGTCTGCTCACACCCCAAACTCATTTCAAAGAGACATCAAACGGCAATAATGAAACCCATGTCTCGATTTATTCTAGCCCTAAGGCCAACCATTTTAAGACGAAGGGCTTTTTTATGTATTTCCATTTGAAAACGGAAGACCCCAAACATTTATTTTTATTAAAATTCCGTTCAAGACTCCAGATGGTATTTCCATTCACCATAAAAGGTTGGGCTTGTGGCGATACATAAAATTCATGGTAGAAGAATATAGATAGACGCGTCGACACAGCTGCTGGGACAATGAACTGTCAAACCAATTTTAAAATTGAAAATGTTGAATGAAAAATTATTTAAATTTATAAAAAATTGTTGACAAATGCGAATTATAATAACCTCCGAATGACGTCGTATAGGAAAACATATAAAAATCTACTTATATTTGAAAAAATA